AATTGTTTGTAACTCTGAACAAAGTTGCAACGCACAACCTTGAATGATGCACATGGGCAAGCACAGCTAGAGGAGAAGTTCCTAAAAGTAGCGCTCTGGTTGGTGGGATTTGCCGAGTTGCCCTCCTCAGAGGCTGGACCTTTACCGCCCCCAGCACTCTGCCCGGTGGCGCTGCTGACGGCCCCCGGACCCTCGGTGCTCCTCCCCCACCCGCATCTTCTCTCTCTGTGCCCACGCAACAAGCAAAGATTGGGAAGTCTGAGTGTGAATGTGTGTTTCTCTTAGTGTGAACAAGGCTGAGCGTGTTTGCATACATTTAAGTCATTTGTACTTTCTTCTTGATGAACCACCGATGTCCTTGTGAATTTTTTTTTAACAGTGAGGCTCATTGTCCATGAAGGGTAACTGTGTAGAAACCATTTCATAAAATGTGTCACATGTCGTATATACAAGGTCTTACGTTTACATTTACTTTAATAGTAGAAAGGACATTAGAGTGAAACTGAAGGATTTGCTGAACATTTTTTTTTGTTTGTTTTCCTCTTCCTAGTACTTTGGGTTTTTAAAAAAATTTTTAATTGTATTTTTTCCATTACTATTTAGTCAGTCCCTTATACCCCTCTTGTGTCCCCCAACAATCAACCCAATTAAAAAATAAGTAAAGGACCTGAACAGACACTTTTCTGAAGAGGACACACAGATGGCCAGTAGACATATGAAAAGATGCTCAGTGACACCAGTCATCAGAGAGATGCAAATTAAAACCACAGTGAGGTCCCACCTGACACCCGTCAGAATGACTGTCATTTAATAAATCGACAAACAACAAGAGCTGGCGAGGACGTGGAGAAGGGGACCCTCGTGCACTGTTGGTGGGAATGCAGATTGGTGCAGCCACTGTGGAAAGCTGTATGGAGATACTCTCAAAAAATTAAAAATGGAACTGCCTTTCAGCCCAGAGATCCCCCTTCTGGCAATATATCGGGAGGAACCCAAAACCCTAATTTGAAAGAACATAAGCGCCCCCATGTTTACGGTAGCATTATCTACCATCGCCAAGATAGGGAAGCAGCCCAAGTGTCCATCAGTAGATGAGTGGATAAAACAACTCTGGGACATTTACACAATGGAATACTATGTAGCAATAAAAAAGAAGAAGATTTTACTCTTTGCAACATTATGGATGGACCTGGAGAACATTATGCTGAGGGAAATAAGCCAGTCAGAGGAAGACACGTACCATATGATTTCACTCATATACAGACTCTAATGAACAAACGGAACTAACAAGCAAATGGAGACAGAAACACAGACACCAGGAGGGCAGCTGAGGGGGAGCACACGGGGGTGGGGGGGACCGAGCAGAGGGGAAAAGGGACTCGGGGACATGGATTTGCCGAACTTGAACTATCAAACGGACTCTTACAAGATTTAGCAGAAAAAGTCCACGGAAAACTTGCAGGGTGCCCTCATCGTTTTGTCAGGTTTTTCTGAAGCTCCGCGGTGTGATTTTGAGCAGGCTCGCCTGACTCATGGCTTAGGCAAGAGAAGAAATGGATTTACATTTTCATTTCCCCTTCTAATCGAATTATGTAATTTGGCCTGTAACACGATGCCCGCATTTGTCGTAATTCTATACTTAAATATAGATTTGTGTTCACCAGCAGCATCCCTTCTACCACAGCCTCCCTGCCTGCTGGTTGGGAGAAAACAGGGCTGTTCCCCCCCCCCCCCAGCAGAGCCTGTGGCGCAACCCCCGAGTTCTGGTTTCAGAGCACGCCGGCCTGCACGCCGCCCGTCCTGCATGGCCGCGTGACTCGGTGGGTCCCTGGCCCCTTGTCTCCCAACTCGGTTGCTGTGTTGTGTCTTGGGGGCACCTCCCGGGACCAGCCAGATGGGTTTCCTCTGTAGGTGTCTCGCTTTGGTGAGGACGCTCGTGAAGAAGTTGTTGTTGTCGTTGTTCCACTCGGCCGTGGGGTCACTGGCCGGGCCGGGCCTGGCCGTGGGCCGTTCCGTCCGTCGGTCACGGAGCCCCTTCCTACGCACACTCCAGTCTTCCCCGTTTCTTCCGTTGTGTCTAAATATGCTTTTCTGTTGTGCCCGTTCTGCTTCTAGAGTTACACGCTTCAGAGATGGAATTTTCCTTGTGTCAGGGCCCTCTTGCTCTTCAGATCTTTTTGGTTTTTTTTTTTCCTGATGATTTGGTTCCTTTCACAGGATGCTGTCTCAAAACTGTCCTCCGCGCAGGGAGATGGCCACCTCATTTGTTTGTCACCCTCGGGGGTGCCTTTCGTTTTCGGTTCCTTTCTCAGCTTTGCGGGGTCCCCCTTTTCCCGCCCTGTCCTGTCCTGTCGCCTGAGGATTCTTGCCCGGCTGTCCTTGCGTTTTTACGAAGTCTGCCCGGAGTGTAAAATGTTCTGGAGGAGTTTGGTTTAGTTTCTTTTCCTTGGATGCTTTCTCCCAGATGGGGTTTTTCTCTCTCATTCCCTCCCTCCCTTTTCTTCTACATTAACTACGTATCGCATCTCTTCAGCCGGCTTATATTGAACGCGAGCAGTTTAGGGACATGGTCAAGAGCACAGACGGTGGAGTCCCAGTGCCTGGGATGCCGTCTCCATCCTGTCATCGATTTGGGGGCAAATCACCCTCTGTGTTTTATCTTTTCCATCTGTCAAATGCAAATAATACGAACACAAGGTTGTTGGGGGCCCTTAACGAGACAGAGCGGGAAGACTCCCTAGGCCGATGCGAAGCCCACTCTTGTGACCGCTGTGGGCACCTCCCGGGCTCCCGTGGGCCCTGACGGTGTCGCACAAGGTCCCTTCCCTGCTTCCGGTGCTGTCCGGCCTTGCCCCTGAGCTCCATCCCAGGGTGAGGGTGGGGAGGGCCTCTTTGGAGTCTATTGTCACGTATGCAACTTTGTTACAGGTTGTTTTTTGGGGTTTACTCTACGAGGTCAAAGGTGTATCCTCTTCCTTTGGAACCCTTAGGTCTGGGGTGACCTCCCGCAGCCCCTCCCGGGCAGTCAGCTCCTGCTCCTGCCCGTGTCCGGGACTCTGGGTGGTCGGCCTGCCTGTCTTCCTCCCAGAGTGCTTTGTCACTGCTCTCCGAGGGCTGCCTGACCCCTCAGTCCGCTTCTGCCTGTATCAGCGTTGGTTTGGGGCTCACGGACTTGACTCCCCGTGGCAGGGAGGGTGGGCCAGCAGCACCCGCTCTCCGCTGCCCCCCGCCGTCGGTCCCTCGCCCCAGTCACCGCTCTCTGCAGCGTGTGCGCTGCGGTGACGCTCCTTTCTTTCCTGATGTGTCTGCAGCTGCAGGACATGTTCCTGGCCATTCATCTCCATCCCTCATTGTTGCAGAAGCACAATTCTTGGATCGAATTTTCTTCTGCCATCTTTCTTCCAGCTATCTTGTCGGGAGCTTTAAAAAAAAAAAAAAAAGAAAAGAAAGAGAGAAAAACAAAACATTCCCGGACCCAGCCCTGGACCTTGCCTTCCAGAGGGTCTGGAACAGGCCCAAGTGTCTGCCTTCTAAAAGCCATCCCTGCGGCTCTGATTTTTAACTGGGGAGTCCTTGTGAAAGGCTGTACGTTTTTCTCCTACCTCTTCATTAGCCTCTTTGAAGAACAAATTAAGTATATAAAACACTCACAATTTTTCAGGAAGATCTCATAAATTTAAAGGTGCTTTTTTGTGGTTTGTTGGCTTGCTTTTTTTTTTTTAATAACCTCATACAAATACAGGGCGAAAAAGCCCGTCTCCGGGACTAGAAATGCAAGTAGCTCTTTTTTTCCCTGCAGTGGTCCCTGAGAGACGTATCTTCAGACCTGAAATTCACTTCTAGACCTCTCAGGCTTTTAGTTGTCTGCTGGCCTTGACAGAGTGAATTATTTATCGGTGCTTTTAGGAAGCATTCGGATGCCGTAGGTGCCAGCCGTGTCGGCCACAGGCAGTCATCGGAACCCGGTGGTCCTCCCGGGACGGCGCCCACCATGGGCCTTGAACCCCGTTCAGGGTTTCACTGGTTCAAGGGACCCGCCGAAGGTGACTGGGTTCACCTGGGTCTGCACGTGACCGAGGAAGGCAGCGGCTGGAAAAGCGGGCTGGGAGCTGCCGCAGCGCAAGCCGGGCCGTGAGCGCCGAGCCGCTGCCGGTGGGGTCCCCCGCGGGCCGTGCGCCAGCCTCCCACCTGTTCCCCCAGCGAGGGCTTCCCGGTCAGGACCCCCGAGAGAGCCGCCCGGGGAACCAGCGCCAGCGAGGTGTGATTGTCGTTGTCGTTTTTCAGGATGGCCTCTTAGTTTTTTAGTTAACTTAGGTGTCTGAACGTTGAGGAGAGCGCCTGCGTTCTCGACCTGGAGGCCGGGTTAGAAGCCAGACTCGGTGAGGGGCTCATCGGGGCGTGTTCGGTGCTCACCTGCGGGGCAGCCTCGAAGGTCCCCTGGTTAAACATCGTGGCGTGAACATCCCCAGAAGCCCGTCTCTCCTGCCTGGGAGGACTTACTCGCAGGTGGTTTCCATTCGCTCTTTGGGGGGAGCAGCCACACGCCCTTGGCACTGAGATGCTCCGTTCACACACATGGACCCAGAGCCTGTGCTGCCCTTGAACTCGGGGCAGTAACGCTCGACTTGAGAAAAACCGCCCTCAGCTCAGGGCTGTGTGGAAGCCACCGCGTGTCCACACGTGGCCTGTCCCCTCCCTTTCAATCAAGTCGGGCCGCCCGGTCCAGCAAAGTGGCCGGCTGGTGACCATGTCTGTTCTCGTCTGCCCCGCCTTCAAGGTGGCGGCTCCAAGCCACGCGAGTCCCTCCCGGCGGGAGCGCCTGCGCCCGTGTTGGGAGATGGGAGGAAACGAGTGGGTTTCGGCTGTGGGCAGTTCGTAGTTATTGGTTTCAACTTACCAGGAAAAAAAAAAACAAAAAAAACCACTAACTTCATCTGTCGTCCCTGATCTCTCTATTGCCTCTCTCCGTGTGAGGTGACATGTCTGTATTTTTGTTTTAGGAATCTTTCGAAGAAATACCAACCTAAAAAGAACTCGAAGGAGGAGGAAGAATACAGGTCTGTTGGCCATTGATCACGATGCCCATTGATCATGACGCCCATTGATCACGGCATGGCACCGTCCGTCCGCACGCCGTCGGTGCTGGTTGGGAAAGGAAGGGAGAACCAGATCCCAACGGCAACGAGACTCACTCTCTGTCTGTATTTGTGTTAGCTTTTAAATCGGGGGAGAGAAACACATAAACCTACTCCCCTAGCTTGTCTCACACTGAGCCGCTAGACCTATGTTAGATGGCTTCAGTGAGGGTCGTGAAGAGAAGCTTAGGAAACAATCTAAGCAAACACAAGAAGTATGGATTGTGCGTCTACAGTCTTGGTTTGGTTTTGTGATATCAAGAGTCTCATTCCTACTAATGCATCCAAGAAATAACGTATTTTCCGGACCATAAGACACACCTAGGTTTTAGAGGAGGAAAATAGGGAAAAAATTTTTGAAGCAAAAAAATGTGGTAAAATATTTAATAACACAATATTTCACCAGTGTAAATAAACGTAAACAGAACTCAACAGCAGCATGAACAACCATCATTCCTCCCAAACTGGGGGTGGGGGTGTCTTACAGTCTGAAAAATATGTCCATTTTGGTCAGTGATTCAGGAGGCGTCTTAACACAGATGGTCCCAAAAAAGTACTGTTTCTCTACTTTGGATTGAAGTATCCATTACGTTAATACATACGTGTTCTGGGTCACACATATAGTTGGACTCAGGGTTAACAAAGCCGAATGCTGCCCTGTGTAGCACAGAGCAGTTCCGGTTCACAAGCTGGAGAACGTCTCTGCTGTAATTAAGTCGGAGCCTTTCTGGCGCAGACGCCCTCCTGTGTGATGAATGAATCGCCAGGGTCCTCCGGGAGGCCGGTGCAAATTAAGCTGACACGAGTGACTGTCTCCCCAGCGAAGGGAGCTGGGCCGAGCCCTCATCTGAGGCGGCGGCGCGGCCTGTGTTCTGTCCCGCAGGTACACGGCCTGCCAGGCCTTCCTCTCCACGCTGAACGAGATGAACGACTACGCCGGCCAGCACGAGGTCATCTCGGAGAACCTGACCTCGAAGATCATCGCGGGGCTGGCGCGCTACGTCCAGGAGCTGAAGCAGGAAAGGAAATCGGTAACGGAACTTGTTTTTTTTTTCCCCCCTAAGATGTGGACCAACGAGAAGGGGGATACCCCTAGAAACTTTAAAATGACACAGAACACATAAACGGTGGGTCTTACGCGGACGCCTTGGAGAATCGTATCAAAGTTACGGGCCTTGTTCCTAGAAAGCGTTTCTGTGTCTTTATCATCTCCAGGGTCCCTGGGACACCCTGAGACTCATCTGTGGGCCCCCGAATACCAAGTAATTCGTTGGAGGAATTTAACCCCATCTGAGGGTATCAGACACACAAGAGTAGGCAGTATAACATGGTGTGCGCTGTGTGGCATGAACGGCATTAAAATAAATGCTTGTAAGGCGTTTTAAAAAGCCAGAGAGACTGAACCTCTTGGCTCCTTCATTGCTCTCTAATGAAGAGGAGCTTTTACTTCTCCTGACGCCATTAGAATCTTCTCATAGCTTCTGCGTGAGCAAGAGAGGAAAATGTGCACTCTCAGGGTAGTATTCACAGTCCAGATTCTGCCCGAAGAGACTGATCTTTAAGCGCTGGACCGTGTCATTGAACTCTGACCCGCTGCTAGGTGCATAGTAACTTGTTAGGAATAGAGCACTCACATGGGCCAGTGATAGGCTTTTTCAGATAAACCCGAGTCCACAGTAATTCCTGTAGTGCTCTGGAGGTGCAGGGACTCACGGGATAGGCAGGGCTCCGGCCGAAATGGAGGAGGCATGAATTAATCATGACCAAAATAGTTAGGTAATTGCAGTAGCGATAGTTGCTGCAAAGTACCGAATGTTTAGGTCTAGCTGCGGTTTCTCACGGCCGGCTGGAAATGACGTCTTGCTTAAGTACCACTCTTAACCAGCAGCAATAGTACCATGTCTTCCAGCCGTGGGGTACGGTACATTCGCCAGCCGGGGCAGGCGAAATCCTGCCTGCCCAGAAGGACGATGTCCAATTGACTGCCTATAGTGTGTTTCCGAGCTCAGTTCAGAATCCTAGTAGAGAATTACCTTGCATCTGGATTTCGCTGTGTTTGAATAGACGAATCTCTAACGGGAGGCTGCATGGTGCACATAGCCAGCTACGCAAAAGCCGAGGCTTCCTTCCCCTTTTGTACGGACGTGAGAGGGGGCAGGAGAAAGTGAGTGGGAGGAATGGGTGCTCTCCTGGCCTTGGGGCCCGTAGCCCGACGACAGGCCGTCCGTTCAGTCTTTGAGCCTCGGACTCCCCCAGGCAGGGTAGTGCTTGCTGTTCGTGTGTGTAGGGAAGGATGTTTTGTTTTGTTTTGTTTTTAATGTATTTTATTAATTATGCTGTTACAGTTGTCCCATTTCCCCCCTTCACTCCCCTCCACCCTGTAGACCCTCTCCCACCCACATCCCCCCCTTTAGTTCATGTCTATGTGTCATACTTACAGGTTCTTTGGCTTCTACATTTCCCATACTATTCTCACCCTCCCCCTGTCTATTTTCTCCCTACCGTCTATGCCACCTACTCTCTGTACCTTTTCCCCCTCCTCCTCCCACCCCCCTGTTGCTAACCCTCCATGTGACCTCCATTTCTGTGGTTCTGTTCCTGTTCTAGTTGTTGGCTTAGTTTCTTCTGGTGTTGCTTTGGGTGGAAGGATGTTTTCCATGCAGCAGTTCCCGCCTGCGCCGTATTCTCTGACGATGCAGCTCACTCACCTCCTGAGTGTGAATGGCCCGTGTGCATCCGGACACACGCACATCTGCAGGCTCGTCTTTATGAAAATAGGTTGACTTTCCAGAAGTACATTCTTTAGAAGAGGACCTTTCCTTGCCACCCGTGAAAGCATAGCGTTCAGGAGCTTCCCGGGCTGATGTCCGAGCTGGCGGCATTTCCCGCTGGGGGCGCGGGAACCCGCTGGGGGGCGGGAACCGGCTGGGGGGGCGGGAGCCACTGGAGGCGCAGGCCGGGGCTCTGAATTCCCATGCCTGCTGGGCTCCACTTCGGCAGCTGTGTTCTGGCACGAGGCTCACCTTCCCTTTAGAGAGGAGGGAAGCAGTGGCTGTTGTCTTTTTTAAAAAATATATATGTGTTTTTTAAGATTTTATTTATTTATTTTAGAGAGAGGGGAAGGGAAGGAGAAAGAGGGGGAGAAACATCAGTGTGTGGTTGCCTCTCACACACCCCCACTGGGGACCTGCCCCGCAACCCACGCACGTGCCCTGACCGGGAATCGAACTGGTGACCCTTTGGTTCGCAGGCCTGTGCTCAGTCCACTGAGCTATGCCAGCCAGGGCTGTGTTGTCTTTCATTGACAAACATAAATTGTCGATAAATCTTTACTCCTTGACAGTGTGTAGGATTCATTGGTATTCAGTGATAAGGAGTAGAAATAAGTGGGAAACCAACAGTGTTTTATAAGGTTAACATGATTAGCTTTAATGTGTAAACGCTGGAAATTTTACACATGCTTGGTTTTCCTGGATTTTTACACATTTATAGTGAATACGACGTTCTGTCTCTTTTAGGGGACCACAGACGATAAAAACCTCTGTTTCTTTTATTTACTCTCCCTTTGATTTTTTTTGGGGGGTGCTGTGGTTTATTAGTTGCTAACACTTTTAAAAAATGTTACTAAACCTCTGAATTATAAAACAAAACTTTACAACCTTTATGTACCAAAACCCCCATTTTTCCAAGTTTTCTTCTGAATGTTGTTTATAGATATGTAAACATTTATATAGAGACAGAGATACAGATATATAGATATAAATGTCACATCTCTGTATCTCTCTATATAAATATGTTATATTTTTATACATCTTATATTTCACATCTTTTAAAGTATTTATATCTATATTTTACCTCTATGTCTCTATACAGATAAATGTAACTTTTATTCTTCTTCAGTTTCCATTTAGTATCATAAGTACTTCCCATGCTTCTATGTGAAAATACAGTTTTAATAATTAGGATTTCAGTAGCTGTATGTTCTAACTCTATTAAAATTTGCCCAATTCTTTATTGTTTGATCTAGAGGCTATCCCCAGTTTCTGATTAGTCGTTTGGTTATTCACGAGAACAATACCGCAGTGCACTAATTACTTTTATAGTTGTTTTCCTCCTCTGGGGAGTGGAGAGTCCCTCTCGACACTGAATTCCCAGAAATGAGAATGTCAGGTCAAAGCATATGTGATTTGTGGCTCTTTTTAAAAAAAGATTTTTTATTTATTTATTTATTTTCAGAGAGGGAAGGGAGGGAGAAAGAGAGAGAGAGAGAAACATCAATGTGCGGTTGCTGGGGGTCGTGGCCTGCAACCCAGGCATGTGCCCTGACTGGGAATCGAACCTGCGACACTTTGGTTCACAGCCCGTGCTCCATCCACTGAGCTACGCCAGCCAGGGCTTGATTTGTGGCTCTTGATTAGACTTTGGTCATTTATATGATTCACGGCCTTTAGCGGAAGCATAGAGGAGACTCCCAGGGCATCGAAACGATCGACTTGGATGTGAACAGGCTCCTCTGAGATGAGCGTGGCCATCAGATGTGCTCCTCCGTGAGAACTAGTGTATAAATACACACTTCCGCCCTGGTGCCCGCACACACGTGCCCCCCTCCGTCCCCCAACCCTCTGTCTCCGGCCGCTGTGTCCCTGTTTTATTCACACGGCTCCCCTGGCACCGGGGCAGCGCCCCGCTTGTGTGGGCGCATGCAGCACCCGTGTGTCGGATGCAGAGACCTTTCAGCCCCGGGGAGGGTTGCCGTCCCTGAAGTGCCGCCCATCGACCTGGTACTCTATCTAACCCCCCCTTTTTTTTTTTAAAGAGTTTATTTATTTAATTTTAGAGAGAGGGGAAGAGACGGAGAGAAACAGCAATGTGACAAACGCTAACCAGTGGCCTCTCGCAGGCCCCCAAGCGGGGACCCTGGTCCGTGACTCAGGCATACGCCCTGACCGGGAACCGAACCTGTGACCTTCCGTTTCACAGGCTGGCGCCCAGTCCGCTGAGCCACACTGGCCCCTATCTCACCTCTTAATAATGGTGACTCTTCTTGTTCTGGTTTGGAAGTAAGAGCATGATACCCTTGGAAGGGATGAGTGAGGGGCATGAGTCATTGGCTGCGGAACAGCGGTCGCTGGAAGATCCTATCACCCCAGAGTTCATTGGGATTCCCCAGGGGAATCAGAGTTTCAAGGAATATGAGAGAAGGGGTTCTTTTGAGGAGCAGATAAAAGACCGGTGCATTCTGGGTAAATTGTAGATGTGAGGGCTCTGGGTCGCAAAAGCCAGCATGAGGAGGATGACAGAGGGGACGCCAGGACAGGGAGTGAAGGAAACCTGGCCGCTGGCCCTGGCCCCGGGCCACAGGCAGGGTCCCCTGCCGGGGGCCCAGATGGTCCGTGTTCAGGGGAAGCGGAGCCACGGAGCGTGGCAGCGGGAGGCCGGCATTTTAGGAACTTTCAGCACATTGGGCGAGAAGGTATTTGCATTACAGGTGAATTTGGGAAAATAAGCTTTAAATGACAGCAGGAGGTGATACCTGTCGCAAACGCTTCTGGGTCTGTGGCTTCAGACTCCAGGGTGGGGTGCGACGCCCCGACGGGCGAGCCTGAAGGTGGCCGCACCCCGGGGTTCAGCGCTGCGCGGCTTCATCCCGAGTCAGGCTGAGCAGGGGCCGGCGTGCCAGCCCACCGCTCTGTGGGTTCGGGGGAAGTCGTGATGTTTGTCGCAGACCCAGTTTCCAGGTGCTGCTTTTTCCTTCGCCCTTTCCACGCCCTTGCGTTCCTCTGTTTTCGTCTGTGGGATCTGAGTTTCGCTTAAAATTCCAGATGGCTGCCTGTCTTCTGCGGAGTGTTCCTTCTTTTTTTTTTTTTTCCGTTTTCTTTTTCTAAGGGGCTGTTCTCACGTCGGTGCTGTCGTTTGCTCCAGCAAGGAGTCTTTTTTTTTTTTAAGATTTTGTTTATTTATTTTTAGAGAGGGAAGGGGGAGAGGGGGAGAGAGAGAAACATCAATGTGCGGTTGCTGGGGGCCGTGGCCTGCAACCCAGGCATGTGCCCTGACTGGGAATCGAACCTGCGACACTTTTGTTCGCAGCCCGAGCTCAATCCACTGAGCTACGCCAGCCAGGGCTAGGAGTCTTGAAAGGCTAATGGCCTGTGCCTTACGTACAATAGAAGTGAGCCTCCGTTGTCCCTGACGGCAGAGCGTGGGTGCTAAACATTCTTCTAGTTCGTCCGGTCGGAGAAGGAGCTCTCGCAGAGAGAGCAGTAGTCTCTTGAGAGCTTTGTCATTGTCATTTTTCTTGCCATGAACGCTTGCTTATTTTAGTTTCCCTGTGATTTCTGATCTCAGCGATCCCTGGTCCCTGGGAAATTTCTCAAACATTTCTGAAGGATGATTTTTGTCTGTGTGTTTTTCGGGGTCAACCGAAAAGCTGAAATGAAAGTGAGGTCAGCCGTCGCCCAGGTACGGCCAGGCGCCTTGAGCGGTTCTTATTGTGCTGGAAGAGAAACCAAAGCGCCTGCTTGCGGGAGCCAGTCGGGGCCCTTCTCTGGGTCCCCAGGGATGGTGTTTCCTGTCTCTCCGAGAGGAGAGCACAGCCGGGTGACTTCTGACCTCACCCCGTGGCTCTGAAAGAAGCGCTCATTATCTCCTGCTGGAGAACAGTCCCCCTTTGTGCAGGGCTGCGGGGGCCCACGTCTTACTCACACACCCGCGCGCTGTCCCTGTCCGGCCGAGAGAGGGTTTGCCACTGTTGGTCAACAAGCAACAAACGCATCTGGCCAGCCGGTGTGTGGGGCTTGGTAACCGTGAAGCCGGCTTTCCCCATTAGAGGAGGGACGATGGGCCTGGACCCAAACGGCCGCAGCTTTCTGGGTCACGCATGCAGCCATCAGGAGGCCGCCTGCCCCACCTCCACTGGCCGTGTCCCGAGGCATCCGGCCGCGGCCACTGCGTGCGTGGGCGTTGCAGCCAGACCCGTGCGGGGGAGGGACCCGCTGTGAACCAGCAGGAGGAAGAGAGCAGCCCCGGGATCTCTTTCTTGCCGTACACACACGTGTGGTTTTCGGGTCCTCGCTTTAGCCTGACAGAGCTGTGGCTTCTCGGGGGGAAAGCTCCCCGGTGCAACCACGGTCCGCATTGCGCTTGAGACATAAGTTCATATGCATGATAAAGTAGGGGAGTGAAGGAACGGCAGGAGAGTGGGTATGTGGGTTTTCTATGGGAATCAATCCCTCGTGCTTCCAAAATAGGGCTTTTTTTTTAAGATTTTATTTATTTATTTTTAGAGAGGGAAGGGAGGGAGAGAGAGAGAGAGAAACATCAATGTGCAGTTGCTGGGGGTCATGGCCTGCAACCCAGGCATGTACCCTGACTGGGAATCGAACCTGCAACACTTTGGTTCGCAGCCCGCGCTCAATCCATTGAGCTATGCCAGCCAGGGCTTTTTTTTTTTAATATTCCGGGAATGATGGAGCCGAGTCCTCCTTTCCTGGGTCACCGGCTGTCCCTGTCTGCATGTCCTTGTGCCCGCATTGCCTCAGTCCGCCCAGGGGAGCTTTTTCTTCTGGGGAGCCCCGTCTTTGAATCTCAAAGTAAAACTGGGCGGCACAGGGAGACTCTTCAGCAAACTGCACGACGTGGCGATGCTGCTCTCGGAGTGGGGCCGGTCCTGGTGACGATTTGGGGAAGTCACATTCCTGCAGGGACAAGGACGCTCGGACCGAAGGCGGCCCCCTGGAGAGGCACGGCTGAGCCTCGGCGTCTCCCCGAGCTTGTCCTTCTGCCCCCCTCATCCGCCCGGGGGCCCCCCTGAGCACTGCCCACCCCCCACCCCCTGCTGTCACTCCCCCCTCCCCCCGTTTGATTTGTGGCTTTCAGAAAACCTGCTTGCACTTTGTACTTCCTCCAAATTCGAGGCTTTCCTAACTGTGCCCTCGGCCCTACTTCTCACTTCCCTCCCAGCCGCGATCCTATCTGGGCCCCTGCTCCCTCCCAGCACGCCCGGCCTCGGCCTCGCTTCTGCCGGCACCTCTGCTCTGTGAGGAGACTCGAGCAGAGGAAGCCCCCGGGGGCTCTCTTGGGTCCACAGACACTGACAAATCGCTGGGTGGATAAAACTGGCTGTCAGGAGGCACTGGGGACAGTGAAACGCGACCTCATAGGGAGACAAGAAAGTGCCCTTATAAAGAAGCACTGTTCTTTGAAAGAGAACCCGACCTTCCCCCTGCTCCCCGGCCTCCCAGGAGCCAGCTCCCTTCTGTGACGCAGCCGAGCCCCAGGTTCCGCCCGCCCGAGCGAGGTGAAGGTCCTGAGGCTGCACAGAGGGACCTCCTGTTTCCTGTCCCTCCTTCACCCCGCCTCCTCCGGAGAGCCACCCCTGCTGCTTACCTGTCAGTGAGGACATGGCCCATTCAGCCCAGACGCCTTCAGGACGTGGTGGGGGAGGGTTCAGGGACAGCACCAAGGGGTGCTGCACCCCTGGGGCTGGTCGCAGTGGGGAGCTCCTGTGGCCCCAGGTCTCAGGACAGGGGGAGCCTTACAGGAACTTCATAGATTCACTCTGGGGGGGAGCGCTGCCTGGCCGGAGCTGTGGCCTTTGGTCGAGGGCCCCCGCCCACCTGGAACATCTTCTCCAGGGGAGGCTTGGACTTGATGCACCCCGACCCCGTATGCCAGAACGTCTCCGAGGGCCAGGGAGCCTGCAAGAGTGGTCCAGGCAGGCCAGGACAGGGTCCCCCCGACCTCCAAGTCTCCCACGGCCCACCACGAATCCTGGTGGTTTGCGATCAAAGGACACCGGAGTCCGGCCCCGCTCCCCACCTCCAGGGCTACCCCGTGGTCCGAGGCTTTGTCATCTCCGGAGGCGGAGGGGGCCTTCTGCCTGGAGCCGTCCCGCACAGCATGGCCCCAGCTCATTCAGACAAAACCCCACAAGACCCTTGCAGGGGTGTCCGACCTTTGGGTACCTCTGGGCTGCACTGGAAGAAGAGAGTTTGTGTTGGCCCTCACATGAAATATACAAACATCAGTGAAAACCGATGAGCCAAAAAAAAAAAAGGTTTTAAGAAAATTCACAATTTTGTGTCGGGCCACATTCAGAGCCACCGTAGGCTGCGGGTGGCCACGGGCCGCGGGCCGGACACCCCTGCGGCACAGTCTGTCCCCTTCTCCTCTGGCCGCATCTCCTGGTTTTGTGAGGCGCACCTGGGCTAGTCCTCGGGTGCCCTCGCTGGCTGGCACCGGGCGCACACGGGCCTCGGGGCCTCTGCACGTAGCGGGGATGCGGATTTATGTGGCCGCTTTAAAAGATCCAAGTCATGGGAACACCCCAGACGTGCATCAGCTGGCGCATGGACAGCAAGGCGTGGTGCCTGACCACACAGCGGAATGCCGGGTGGCCGTAAAGAGGGACAAAGCACTCAGACGTGCGACCAGGTGGATGAACCCGGACAACGTCATTTGCCAAGTGAACATTAAGGAATAATGAGAGCGTGAATGCCGGTCACAAAAGGCTTCCTGTTGTAACATGTTTTCTGAATGAAACATCTAGAAGGGGCGTATCTATGGAGACGGGCAGTAGGTCGGTGGCTGCCCAGGGCTGGGGAGGACTCGGGGTAGGAGGGTGACCGCTGAGAGGCGCAGGGTTTCTTTCTGGGGTGAGACACATGGATTGCAGTGAGGGTTGCGTATTGTTGCGACTCTCCTAACAGCCATCGACCTGTGCAATTTGAATGTGGGAACCGTACGGGACGTGAATTGCATCTCAAAGCAACGAAACAGAGAGACCTAAGTGATTTTTGTCTTAAAACACCCCTGGTCACTTGGACCCATGGTGTGTGTCTTAGAATTCAATATTGCAACATCTGAAGTTTTAAAAGGGTACTCTGTGCCTACTCTTGTTTTCATTTCCCCTTCATGTTTTAAATCTTGGATTTCTGGGGAGGGCACATGCTGGGTCTCCACAGTTGAGTGTTGTTTCAGGGGGTGGGTTCTGTTCTCGTGTCAGCACGAGAAAGGCGGGCTGATCACTGTGTGTTTTTGCTTGCAGCACTTTCACGACGGACGGAAGGCCCAGCAGCACATAGAGACATGCTGGAAGCAGCTGGAGTCGGTGAGTGGGAGGCCCGCAGCTCGGGGAGAGGCCTGGGTCGGTTTTCTAATCTGGATCTAAGGGAAGCTGGAATCTACCCACTCGTGCAAAAACCAGTGAAAACACCAAAGGAAAACGTCTTTAGAGATTTTCCTAATTTAAAAGGTAGTCTGTTTCTGAAAACTTGTATCTGAAGTAAAATGTTGAGCCAAAAGAGCTCCAGGAGAGTATTTTTCTAAGGAAATCATATGGAAAGAACAAAGATTGGGCAGTGGAGGTGAACATAAATGCAGACTTTTTAAAAAAGATTTTACTGGCCCTGGCTGGCGTAGCTCAGTGGATTGAGCGCGGGCTGTGAACCAAAGTGTCGCGGGTTCGATTCCCAGTCAGGGCACATGTCTGGGTTGCAGGCCGCGGCCCCCAACAACCGCACATTGATGTTTCTCTCTCTCTCTCTCTATCTCCCTCCCTTCCCTCTCTAAAAGTAAATAAATGAAATCTTTTAAAAAAAAGGTTTTACTTATTTATTTTTAGAGAGAGGGAAAGGAGGGAAAGAGAGAGGGAGAGAAACATCAATGCGTGGTTGCCTCTCACACGCCCCCCACTGGGGACCTGGCCCACATCCCAGGCATGTGCCCTGCCTGGGAATCGAACTGGCAACCCTTTGGTTCGCAGGCTGGCGCTCGATCCACTGAGCCACACCAGCCAGAGCTAAATGCAGATTTTAGATCAACTCCCTGAGACGAGGATACCCAGAAAACCAGTTCAGAGCAGAACACTGTGTGTGTGTGTTGCGGGGGGGGGGGTTCAGGGAACTCGCAGGAGCCCCAGGAGTCTCCTGGCCTCCCCCCTGAGTGCCCCCCCCACGGCTCCCCCCGCCCGCAGAGCAAGAGGCGGTTCGAGCGGGAGTGCAAGGAGGCAGACCGGGCACAGCAGTACTTCGAGAAAATGGACGCCGACATCAACGTCACCAAAGCAGATGTCGAAAAGGTGAGGTGAAAGTGAGCCTTCCTTTCGTTTCCCCTTTCAAATGCTCGCCACGCATCCTCCCGGGGTCGGTCCCCCCCGAGTTCTCCTTTCTGATGTGGCCACAAAAGGCCACTTGACTTGGGATCACTTTCAGTCTGCGTCAGCTGTCATGGGGACCCGCGGCGAAAACCCCGGGGACTCTCGGGGGTTGGGACTGAGCAGTGGTGCTTATTCGTGCAGTCGCCAGGGTGACAGCGCAGGGACAGACCACGGACCGTCCCAGGGCGTGCTGTCTGGGGACGGTGGCTTTCACTCGGTGGCTTTTCAGAGAATCGGTGGACCTCTTGAACGCCGGGGGCGGGCCGCCCAGCGCCACCTGCCAGAGGCTGGCTGCTCCTGAGGCCCCCGGGAGAAAGACGGAGGCGCGCTCACTGCCGCTGGCCTGGCCTCTGCGTGGGTCCCCCAGGTTGCTGACAGGCTGTAGTTCAAGGCCGGCACGGGCAGGCCCTCTCAGAAGCCTGTCTCTGGTGCACTTGTCCTAGCAATGGGAGTGCCATTGAGCTCGTGCAGTATCTGTGCTTTTCCCCTAGAAGCTGAGTTTCCTTTTATGAGAGTCATCAATATGGCGTAAACAAAATTTGGCTGTTAAATAACAGCATTCATTCGTGACTGCCCAGGGCTGTTTTGGGTCACAGCCACATGCTTTCTGGGGGAAAAGCCCGGCCTTTTCACACCTTTCTTGCACTTTTGCCGGGGCAGTGGGAGACGAGGTGAGTTGGGAGATGGGCGTGTGTGAGCTATTCAGATGTTTGCCCAGCTCTGCCCCATTCCTCGCTCAGAGCCCGGGGACGGATCAGCGTGCCTTCCTCTAGGGTTATCTAATGTATTCAAACATTCTCGATATCTATGTTTCAGCTCGAGGGGGGTTGTTTACCAAAAGATATATGAATATGCTAGAAAAGTTACCATAAACCATCATAAACTTGTCATAAGTTCTCATTAAACAGCCAGCTTCCCAAACTGTTCAAAGCGTCCTTCAGTTAAAGTAGATTGACCCAAAGCTTATTTTAAAAATTTGGGATTAAATGAGAAATACATCTAGCACAAACCTATACATTCTTTTCCAAGTATTTTATTACCCTAAGTGTAAAACTGGAGTGGTTTTTGTTCACATAACGGCCTTTAAAAGAAATGACTTCTAAGGTCTCTTAGTACAAAGGCCATCCACCCTTGTTGTAGAAACATCTGAAAATACAAACATCTAAAGAAGGAGAAAAATATAAAAACACCCAACGGTTGGTAATAAAAGGAATTTTACCTTCAGGGCCTCTTATAATAATTATGTAAACCACAGACAGACAGGGGCAAAAAAAGGCTTCTGGTGGTTCCGATGGAAAATAAGATAATACTTAATAAATAGCAATACACGAATAAACTCTGTTTCACGCACTCACCACTGTGAGTGCCTGCTTCTGCCCCACCCTGTGCGCCCAGGGCACAGAACGATAACACAAGGAAGGCCTATTTTAAGAAATAAAATGTTATTGGCGCCTTGGAAGTCTCCCTCCCTAATTTCACCCTTCTGCCCCCACCCTGTAGGCCCTTAATTTGGTCTTAATGACCTCCTCGCTCTTTATGGCTTTCCCTCTAAAGAGTAGATTTTATAATTTGGCTCTTTTCCACCTTTATGTGCACCGTTATCTTCTTTTCACGTGATTTCTTCTGACTTCGTTTGTTTTCACGCAGCATTACGGTGGACGCTTGCTTCGCGCGGGGTGTAGCGAGCGCAGGACTCTCGTGTGTTGACATTAGAGCCGGGTGCCTGGCTAAACTCTCTTTTTGTTTGTTTTGAGTTTTCTGTAGAGAGAATCCTACCACCAGCAAACAATGACGGGTTTCATTCTTCTTTTTCAATCCTTGAGCCTTTTATTTGTTTTTCTTGACTCGCTCTGCTGGTCATGGCCCCCATGACGCTGGTAGAAGCAGTAATCCTGGACTTCCTTATCTCGTGCTTGATTGTACAGAGCGCTTCAGGCGGTCCAGGTCCAGGGAGCTCCCTCTTCCTATTTTGCCAAGAGGTGTTTTTTTTTTTTTGTTTCGTTTTGGTTTTTTTTTAAGCCTGACTTGATATTGAGTATCACCAAATACATTTTCTGCTTCCTTTCATCCATTCATGAGATACATTACATTCATCAATTTTTTTAAAGATTTTATTTATTTTTAGAGAGAGAAGGGAGGGAGAAAGAGAGAGAGAAACATCAATGTGCGGTTGCTGGGGGCCGTGGCCTGCAACCCAGGCATGTGCCCTGACTGGGAATCGAACCTGCGATGCTTTGGTTCACAGCCCGAGCTCAATCCACTGAGCTACGCCAGCCAGGGCTACATTCATCAATTTTTTAATATATTGAACCAAATTAGCCTCCCTGGGACAATTCCAACTAGGTTATCATGTATTTTTTTTTAAATATGTAGCTGAATTTGTTGTTTTAGTATTTTAGTCAAGGTTTTTTTTTACTCTGTAGTCATTGAGATGAGCCTATAATTGTTCTCATCTGTTCTAATTTGCTTTACTTGCTAGTTTTGGATTCAACTTGCTCGTTTTTCTATTTTCTGAAATAGTTTACGTGAGAGGAGCAGTTCTTAGATGTTTAAATGTTTTGGGATACTGCATCGTGGGAAAGCTTCTGACTGCCAAATCGATTCCTTTAATATCTGCTGTTTCGGTTGACCCCGGCATTCTATTTTTCTAAACATACATCCATCTCATCATAAGATTGGAAACATCTTAGTAAACGTTGCCTGTCATACTCTCTCACCTTACTGTTTGCGGCATCTGTTGTTTATTCCTAATATTACTTGTTTATGCCATTTCCCCCCTTTAGGGGGCGGGGGGTCACTTTTCTAAAATCATTTTTATGACTATGTTCCAAGAACCAAAATTTATCTTTGTGGAACTTCTCTTTTCTACTTCTGTTTTCTGTTTCATTGAGTGTCTTTTCCTTCCTCCTTATCTGTTAGCCTTTGGAGTTCTTCTGTTGTCCTTTAAAAATTTTCTTCCTTCAGATGCTTGCCTCATTTCAGCTTTTCTCGTTTTCTAGTATAAGTACTTGAGTGACACATTTCTCATTTTTTAAAAATGTATTCATTTCTTTTCAGAGAGGGAAGGGAGGGAGAAAGAGAGAGAGAGAGAGAGAAACATCAATGTGCGGTTGCTGGGGGTCATGGCCTACAACCCAGGCATGTACCCTGACTGGGAATCGAACCTGCGACACTGGTTCGCAGCCCGCGCTCAATCCACTGAGCTACGCCAGCCAGGGTGACACATTTCTCATTTAAGCATTGATTTACCTACAACCCACAAATGTCGGCATGCAGTAGGAGTATTGTTCATTTCTAGATCTTTTTCATTTCTTTTACTGCTTACTGTCTCCTGTGATTTATGTAGAAGCATATTTTAAAATTTCCAATTGTATGACCTATGGAGATGTATCTTTTTGTTGTTTCAACTGCACTGTGGCTGCAGAAAGCCCGAGTTTCAGTCTTTTGTGGTTGTTGAGACTTGTTTTACGGCCTAGAGCGTGGTCCCATTTTATAAACATTCTAGAAGAAATCGAAAAGGATGTGCCTTCTCCAGTTCCCGGCTGCAGATTCTGCCTGTTCCCATTCGCTCGAACTTGGTGACTGCGTTTTCTGAATCTTCCCACCAAGTATGTGTTTGTTCCTGCCGCAGCCTTCTTGAGAGAGACGCGTCCCTTCCTCCTGTCTTGCTTCTCCCGTCTGCCCCTGGGCCCACTGGGGGGCAGGGCTGAGGGGAGTGTCCACTGAGTGAATGTGTACGAGACACTCAAAGCCACCCTGGTGGGGGCCGGGGACCCGCAAGTTAACTGTCAGGATGGTAACGGGGGAAGAGTTGCCGTTTCCTGTCCCTTTGATAAAGTGCAGAACTGTACTGTCTTCAGCGAGATTTAGTGTGTCGCCGATGTGGGGGATGTGGGGTCGTCTCCTCTGCAGTTACACTTTGCAGAAACTTCTGCAGTTTCTCTGCAGAAACACTTCTGCAGTTTCTCAGTTCCAAGCTCCTACCGTCAGGGTGAGCTTGGCCCGGCAAGCCGTCCCCGGGCGGTCTCTGTGCCGGCGGCCATGAGACGGCTTCCCCGGGGCTGCTCCCAGCCGTGCAAACCCGCTGTCGACCAGCGAGATGTCTCTTGTCCCCACGCCACCGCCCCGTGTTTCAGTCACATGGGAAGGAGGAGTCACAGTGAGCAGACAGACAGGGGACACAGACACCGTCCCTGTGTGATGATGGACGTGCGTCCCTTGGAAACTGGACTGTCCGTGGCCTGCGTTGAGCGTGGACTCTCCAGGCAGCTGGCATGACCTGGGGGGTGCTACGGAGCCGGGGCCATGTCAGTCTAAATTTTCCAACTTGGGTCTGGGAGCCGCACCAGCTGGGTGAGCTCTGGCCCTTTGTGGTTGAAAAATCTCCAGGATGACTTTTTTCCTGGTTTTCCTGCCTTGGTCGGCCATGACTGTTAAGTTGTCAAAGGGACAATCGCCAGATCCAGAGGCGGCTGTAGGACTCGGCAGGAGCTGCCGATGGGGTTGCTCTCCTCGGCTTTGAAGTATTTCCCAGGGTGCATTGCTTTTCCTTCTGCGGACAGCATCCTTGCGATTTTTATGGAAGTACCACTCGCCTCCTCCCCAAGGATGTGATAAATGACCTGAGGACCTGACTCAGAGAGAACACTGTAATTTCCCCCAACACACAGTAGTTCGACTGTTGTATCAGTGTTTTGCCTTATTGCCTGCAAAGGCTCTTGTCAGTCCCAAGCCGAAAGGATGTAGAGTTTCGGCTCTTATCAATAGTTAATGTAATTTCCCATTTTGACTTTGGAAAGTCTTTGAATCTCATATAAATGGCTTTTCCCAGTTTCTGCCAACGATTAGATTACCCACTTATATTAGAAATCTCTTCACCTCCTTTTTCTTTTTTAAAGATTTTATGTATTTGTTTTTAGAGA